TCTGTATTCATATATATATATATATATATATATATATATATATATATATATATATATAAAGCAAACTAATTATTTTATCTATTATAAATTACTTATTTATGTACCAAAACAAATCCCAAAGTGTTAAGCACAACGGAAAAATCTCTTAATAGGGGTTTCTGCTAGAAACCTTTTTAATACAAAAAAAGAATAACAAAATTAAAGTGTATATATGTGCAAGTATGTATATAATATAATAAAAAGAAATATACTTACAGTTATTAGTAATAACTTATTTGAGTTTCCAATATTAGTCTACAAATTTAAGTCATGTAATTTAAGACTACATTAAATGTGCATTACATTTCTTTTCCGCTACAAGTTTAATTAGGTATAATAGATATCAGTTCTGTTATCAATTCTTCGTCATTATCTGAATTTGAATTTTCAAGAACATGAACTCATGAAAAAAATGTCTTTAAATATACTTATAATTACATAATATCTTTACTATGCTACAAGTAATTATTTATTAAAATGTCTTGATTATATGTATCTGTTGAGAATTTTCAGCAAACTAGTACAGAAGTCTGAATAAAATGTTAATTTATGCGTTTCTTTGAAGCTACAAGCTCTTAGTTGGTTACCCTCAAAGTACCGAAACAACAACAATATCGAAATGATATTTTAAATCAGAATAAAAACAATGGGAAAGTAAAAATTTTTAAAAATAGATAAATGGTTAGAGGAGAAAATTACAATACACAATAAAAAAAATTGTATAGAATATTTATTAAACTGCCAAAATATACAACTTAAAATGGCATAAACATTATTTTAACAGATCATTACTTGATGCTTTACGATGATAAGGGGTCATACATTGATTAATTATTATTGAGTTTTTTTTGTATCATATCATATCATAGATTTTTTTTAAGTCATAATATGTATAAGACAAAGAAACTTGTATCATATTTGTAACCAAGGCACGTGACAAACATAACTTATCTTTGTAACATTCTCATTGTGAAACACTCAACGATCATAATTTATCAGGTTGCAGTTTGTTTCATGCATATTTTTTACTCCTGTATATAATTTATAACAATTTAACTTTGATTAAAAATGTCTTTATTATGATCACTAAGGCGATTTCAATTAAACAATGTTTCTTAAAAACAGGTCTGATAGGTTGCGAAACGAGTCTAAAACTAATGGAGATACGAAATGAAGATATATAATACTCAATATTTGTACATATATAATATTCTATTCTTTTTATTCTTCTTCCGTTGTCTATGTATTTGATATTTATCAGTTAAACATAAATCTTTCTTTATTCAAATCTATTTATTTTTCGTCTTATTCAATAAATATAGAAAATATTATTCACAAACAAAACTTATCAAGAATTGCGGAACACGAAGTTCAATTTAGCAACTATCCTTTCGTTCTCAAATAACATTAAAATCTAAGCGGAACTCTTTTTTATTGATAGTACTATGTAATAGCCTTACGAAGTGGCTGTTAAATAACATCTGAAAGCACTTACGATCTCTGTTACGGCTAAACCTACTTTAATCTGTTATCAAAGATAAAGGTAAATATTTGAGGATCATTTTAGGTAATTTTTTTTACAACAATTGCTTTTGAACCTAATGTAGTTAAAAGTATTTGTAAAAAAGTAATCAAACCAGCAGTTGTTATTTTTCAAAATGTAATCAAATTGTTACACAAGATCTGGTAATCTTACGGAATGGAAACATTTTTCATCAAAGAGAACAAGGGAAAAGTTTAAAATTTACGAGTGATCTAATCAAAAAAATATATTAAGATAATAAAATAAAATACGTAATTGTATTATTATCTTGAATACGTACGGTGGATCCATTGAATGCTTAAAAGTGGCGTCTCATTATTTTATTTTATTTCCTAAAGTGGTGCAAAATAAAATATTGACTAAAGAGATTTGTGATGTTCCTATCACAATATGTATATTGTCCAGCGTTAATAATCGAGGCGCTTTAAAATTGAACTATTCACGGAGAAAGGATTGAACGTCCTCTTATCTAAATAGGCTTTTGATCACATAAATGAATGAAGACTATTTGAGTGATATTATATTAGATTTAGCTTATATGCGTTCGTATTTTTAAATAATTTTGACCTAGTTTTCTCTATATATACATATATATGTTTAATATGAAGAAACGTTTCGTAGAATAAACACATAAATTTTTCAAATATTGAGGTAATTCTTTATTGATAATGTAATACTTATACTTAATAAAAAACATCCAACAATCACCATAATGATATGTGAGATATTGGATATTCATTTAATTGAAATGTATCGGTTCCTTTCCAGCAACCGTGATCACAGGCAGACGAGATGAAAATATGACGAATCAAATAATAAAAATATACGAAAAACTTACATAGTTTTATTAAAACATCACCATGTTGAGAGTCAACAAGAAAAAAATGCTACTGGAACTACAATTCGACTCCATTTGTACTCTAAAAGTCTATTGTAGTGGAATGGTTCGAAGTTTGTGTCGAAAACACAAATACCTATGTATAATACCAGACTTCGGACAAAATATGGTTTATGAATAAAGAAGATCGGTTGGTTAGATTATTTTTGTTATTTTTCATAATTTTTATGTTTAGTTTCATTTTAAAATGTCGTAAATACTTTAAGTATAAGTTTGTTGTAAACAGTTCTATAATAAAATGTTTGTCCGTTTAATTTTGTTAAAAATCAAACTTTTTACTGGAATTATATCGATATATATTCAAATACATTAAATAATAGAAGAATATAAGTAAGTCACAATTGACTGAAACGGGTCTTTTACTAAAACTAATTTATAATTTCGGTCCCATATTATGTGTACATCTAAACTCATTGTTTATAGTTTAGGATTAAACGGAGAATTAAATTAAGATCGTTGAGAGTTGAAGAAGTGATCTGATAACATTTCAACTTGTCATATCCACTATCTAACATATCAAAGATATTTATAATAATATTAATTACTTATTTACTCAATAAAGTTTTCGTTAATCTATCTTCAGATATAATAGTTAGTAAAACTTAGCGATTAACTTTTGTAACATATAATGAAAAATATGAATTCTTAAATAAATATCTAGAGCATTCTTTATGCTCATAAAAGTATTATACACAATTTAAGACACAATGAAGTTAAAACTTTGTTGAATGAAGTTAAATCCCTATCACCAATTCATTCAAGAAACTCAAAGTTTTATAAAAGTCATTGTTCAAAATCAGTTAAATTAAAATGAACCAAATACCACGTTTGGGTAGAGGTGAAACTACGAAGTTTGCAAATTTATGTCAAACTTTGTTTTAAAACTTCGTGGTATATTTATCTTGTTACATAAAAAATATTAAATGTTTTTATGTGCGAAATTTGTATTATTTAATTTTCTTAAAATGTAACATTGAAACATACTCTAATGTTAAGAATCTAAGATAAAAAATATTAAATTATATGTAAAAAAATTGTAAGGACATCGTGAAAAAAATACTACATATTTTCCAATACTCTTTGTTTTTCTGACATTTTATGCAAATTAAAAGTTATGCTGAAACAGCAACATTATTAGTTTTTCTATGTAGTAATTACAAAAGAAATAAATTCTTTAAATATTTTAAGTTTCTATGAAATATTCTTACATACAGTGCATAAGTGCGTCTGTCATTATGATTGATAGTTACCCTAATGGTTACACTATATTCAACAACCACGAATAGTCTTTTCAACAAGTCTAAGAGAAACCTTTTTAATACAAAAAGAAGTGCCAAAATTAAAGTATATATGTATGTAAATGTGCGAGTACGTATATATAAAAAATGCATATATTATTTGAGTTTCCGATATTAATTAACTATCTTCTATCATGTAACTTAAGCATACATAAAATGTAAGAAATTCCCTCTATTACGTTTGTCTCCCGTCTTCTTATTTAATTATACTAGATACTAGTAGTGTCATCGATAGTGTCATCTTTATCTGAATCTTGAATTTATTTCTCCGAGAAAATAGTTTATTGTTAATATAAGTTCTGAATATGATTTTTTCAAATTAAAATATTAATAGCTTTGACCCGAATTTTGGCAAAGTTAGAGAATTGTTAACAAGAAAAGATAAAAACTCGTAATATACTTTGCAGTTCAAGAACAGAATTACATTATTGAATAAATATCTTCCCTTTATAACAGACCACTTATATATGGCTTTACATGGAAATACAATGTATTGTATTTTTCATTATTTATTTATTACTCCTGCAGTTGCAGTTTGTTTTATGAATATTTTTTACTCCTGCATATAATTTACCACAATTTAACTTTAATTAAAAATGTCTTTACAAAAATCACTAATGCGATTTCAATTTTACAATGTTTTTTAATGACAGGTTTGATAAAATGCGAAACGAGTCTAAAACTAATGGAGATACAAAATGAAGATATATAATACTCAATAATAATTGTACATATATAATATTCTGTTCTTTCTATTCTTCTTCCGTTGTCTACGTATTTGATCTTTATCAGTAAAACATAAATCTTTCTTTATACAAATCCATTAATTTTTGTCTTATTCAATAAATATAGAAAATATTATTTACAAATAAAACTTATCAAGAATTACGGAACACGAAGTTAAATTTAGCAAATATCCGTTCGTTCTCAAATAACAACGAAATCTAAGCGGAGCTCTTTTTTATTGAATATTGTAATAGCCTTACGAAGTGGCTGTAAAATAACATCTGAAAGCACTTACGATCTCTGTTACGGCTAAACCTACTTTAATCTGTTATCAAAGATAAAGGTCAATATTTGAGGATCATTTTAAGTAATTACTAATTTATCTTACAACAATCGCTCTTCAACTTAATAGTAGTTAAGAGTATTTGTAAAAAAGAAAATTAAGCCAGCACTTATTATTTTTGTCAAAAACAGTATCCATAGAAGGTGGTTCAAAATGGGTAAGGTTAAGTGCTCTGAACTACGTACGAAGGATAAGAAGGAGCTCTTCAAACAGCTCGATGAGTTGAAAACAGAATTGACCAAACTTCGGGTTGCTAAAGTAACAGGAGGAGTCGCATCCAAATTATCGAAAATACGTGTGGTAAGGAAAGCTATTGCACGTGTTTACATTGTTTACCACCAAACAATGAAAGTAAACTTGAGGAATCACTACAAGAACAAGAAGTACAAGACCCTCGACTTAAGGCCCAAAAAGAGCCGTGCTATGCGCAAGGCCCAAACATGAAGACCAAACATGAAGCCAAGATAAAAACTCAGAAGGAGATCAGAAAGAAGTCCTTGTTCCCTCCTAGAGTTTACGCTGTCAAAGCTTGAATCAACATTATCATTCAAAATATAATCAAATCGGAACATAAAATCTGGTAAGCTTGTGGATTGCAAACATTTTTCCTTAAGAACAGTGAAAACTTTTAAAATATAGAGCGATCCTATAAAAAAATAGGTATCGAAATAAAATACATTATAATAGGAAACACGCACGGTGGATCCATTAAATGATAAGGAATGTCGTCTCATTATTTTATTTTATTACCATGTCCCTACATTTTAATATTGACTAAAGGGATTTGTGATGTTCCTATCACCAATACCCATACTGTCCAGTCTTAATAACTGAAACGCTTTAAAACGGATCTATTCACTGAGAATGGAATTCACGTCCTCTTATATAAATAGGCTTTTGATCACATCAATGAATGAAAAGTATTACAATGATATTATATTAGATTTTGACAGTATAGGTTGGTATTGTCAAATATTTTTGCCAAGTATTTCTTATAAAAATGTTTAATATAAAGAAACTGTTAGTATAATAAACACAAACTTTTCAAACATTCAACAATATGATTTTTCTGAGTCATATGTAGTTTTGTTGAATAACTAAAAAAATTAATTCAGAAACCAGATTTAAAGTTTGGTTATAATTATTTTAATGCAATTACAATACATGAGAAGGATTCTTACGGAATAAAGTCTCAAGTTTTAATTATAAATATCAAAATAGAATAGATAGACTATAAGATGGAATAAAAAGAATTATCCAAATATAATCTTTATATAATTTCATTACTATAGTATAAAAAGACTTTATAATTGTAATAAAAATGATAGAGTATGAAGAAAATAATTTAAAAAGACGAATAAAGGAACAAAAGAATCAAACAACATGAAAGACATGATATAAAACAAGACATTTCTAACTGTAACCAACACAGCAAAAGAAGAAATACATGTGATATACTTATAAATCTGACTTAAAGTAGACTGTCACCTAACAAGAATGAAAATATATAACGAAACAAGGAGAAACTTTTAATTATAAATCCAGGTTTCCACACTTCTGTCAGTGGTGTCTAAATACTCTTAGAAAATACATATGACTAGAAAAAATCATATTGGTACTTGTCAGGTTTCGTACCCGCTCGCTGATGCACGAAAGCCGGGCATTTAACCTCTAGGTCACCACGACCTGAATTATTATTCAATTCACATATAATAGCACATTTTTAGTGATGAAATCCTGGTCATGTTGCTATAAGAGAACTGAGCGTAACTTTAAAAATTACACAAATGTAGTAATGGAAATAAGCTTGCTCTTTAAATCTTGATACCGTTTATACATATATGTATATTTACAATCACTAAAAACCTTATAGTTTCCTTTAAATAAAACTGGTGATTACCAGTTTTTTGCCCTAAGTAACAGTGATTACTAAAGTGATTTCTAAACATTGCTATTATACAAATTTTATTAATTTATGAAAATGAAATTGTTCGTAAATTGACAAATTCAAATTGAATTGAATGTTATAGAAAAGAATTACTTTATATTTTATATTTCTTTTGCAAAATAATATATACTAATATTAATCTGAAGTGGATTTTAATAGCTCTTCAATTATTTTAACTTTAATTATACATGACTTTGTGAAACTGCAACAAAGTTATATTTTTAATAAGTTACCATTACGAATGGCCGTTTGATGTTTATAATTTTTTTAGCTAATTAAAAAAATAAACTAAATTAATATTAAACTAATATAAACAACTTACTTTTCATCTTTCTTTTTAGAACATAGGTATTATTTTTGCTTTTTCTTGAAATTGCTATATCTATACCTAATAAGGATTAAATAATTTAATTTTCTTGATAAACTACATATCATATAGATTTAACGTTTATTGTAATATTATTATACTATAAATCTGAAGAAAATCATTGAATTTAAAAGCATTTAAAAAAAATTACCAAAAAAAACCCAACGGGAAATAAAACTGTTGCAGTTTTTCTGTAGAAAACAACTTTTAATTTAAAAAAAAAACTATTTAAATACGTCCTGTAGTTTTAGTCGAAGTTAAATATAAAAATATTTAATATACTTGATATTTTAAACTTCGCAACAGTATTTTACGACATATAGCTACGTAAATATACACAGTGTTTTATTAAGAAGACGTGAATATCTTAAGTATTTATATTAGACCAGGAAACACTCCTTACTATTATGGTTGAATCAACAGATTTAAACTACAAATTTTGTTAAATTTTAATAATTAAATATACTCATATACATACATTCTTATTTAAAACAGAACCTAAAACAGCAATGGCTTAAATAAAATCTGTTACGAAATTTAATATCACAGCCATTCACAGCTAAGGAATTCAATTATATATTTTTTTCTAAAATATTGAAGACGTTTTAAAAATATACATATTAAGTATCTTTATCACGATTCTAGACGATTTCAATCTCATTTTATCAGGAAGATCTGCTACTAAATTATTTGAAGTAAACATATAAACATAAATAGTATGTGGTTTTTTTTAAAGCGATGAAAAAGTTTTATAATGTAAAACAAGGCACATATTGAGAGATACTTAATTATATTAAGAACTGAAACAATTGTGTATCTAGATACACAATTGTTTCAGTTGTAGAGAATAGTTTAAAAACTGTGTTTCCTTACGAAATATCTAACTAAAATTATAAATTATAACAAAGTGATTTGTATTTCAAGTTGAGTGACAGTTTACAAGTATTTGAATTAAAAAGTTTACCTATCTGGAATGATTTCTTTTATCAAAATGTTAAATCCTACAACTATCAGATTTCAGTTCTATAAGTCACTAAACAGTTTTGAGCAATCCTTAAAAATAAATTTAATATAAAAAAATTAAAAAAATATAACGTGGACGAAATTACAAACTACAATTGGAATACACTTTTAAATAAATCTACTCTATTCTAGGAAAATATTAAAAAATTATTCCGAAGAGCTATGAAACAAATTCACAAAAAGCTTTAAGTTGATAGAATTAAAACAACGTTCATTGAACAAGCTTTTATTAGTGTACAAATACTTGATAAGACACTTTTTAAGTTTATTTAAAATTGAAACGGTTCGTTTAATTCATATTTTAATTATTCCCTCTAAAGTATTGACTGAATACTTAACTAACTTAATTTGATTATTTAATCTTCATAGATATTTTTATACACGTATACTTTGATTTAAATACTCATATATGTCAGATTTATTACATTTTCGTTGATTTTAAAGAGAGAGGGACGCCAGCCTCACTGACGTCCCTAATGTCACTTCTTCTAGAGCGTTGCATGATATTTTAAAATGAAACTGCAATTGTTCTTAATGCTCCTATATTTCTAGAAGGTTCCTCACAATCACATACTTCAATGATACGCACTCACTGAACTCTGAATTATCAATATCCATTCTGAATTCTCAAATCTGGAGTCCGCCGTCGTGAGTCCAGACGTCATATTTAAGATTCAAACATAATTCTATTCTCTTTTGATTTCGTTTTACTTTTAACAATAATCATAAATACTAATGAGGTTTAATAAGAATTGATGACAGCCTCTAATTATTTTCAAGTCGCATCCGTTATTAAAGCTGGTAGCGCCGATACGGCCATTCTGACAGGCGGTGCGTGCTCTGCACCTGCCTGGTTATGTGTTCTCTCTTGGTTGGTTTTCGTTATGTTCTTGGACCAGTCCCCCGTCTCGTAAAGTAGATGGGACAGGATCAAGAATTGATGCTTCATCTTCCGAAGTCATGCCGATACGGTCATACTGATGTTTGCTCTGTGATAAAAGATAAATGCTTTTGTAGTCTAGGTACTTCCACAGTAAACCTAGATAACTTTATATTGTTACAATTATGAATATCAAATTTGTTTTGATCGTATGGGTGACGTTTACTACAACACAACTTTGAGATGGTCATAATATCACGTCCAATTATCTAAGCTACATGGCTTTGGGGGCATCACACGAACATTCATAACATATTTGTCATAGGACGTCTCCGCCCGCCTACAACATTTTTTTTTATTTTTTTTTATTTATTTGTCGTAAGACGTCTCCACCCGTCTACAACAATTTTATTTTATTAACCATTTTATTATTATTATTATTTTGTCATGGTTCGGATCCGCCATCAAAGGCATCTTTTATAGTAATAATAATAATTTTATAATTTTATAGTAATATATCTCAAAGTAAGTGTTTCAAAATCACACTTCTATCTACGAAATATGTAATGCGTTTGAAATGAAGTAAATTGAACAAAATGAAATACGCTCACCGGGTAACTATTAGGTAGTCGAACAGTCCACCTTGCTGCTCGTTTACTTATACTCTCTCGTCACTCCAGTGGAACTTCGTCTGGCTGGTCACGAACCACATTTCAAAGTGTTCCTCGGTTTCTATTACTTTTTCTGTGATATTTTTTTTTATATTAAATCTCCATTCTGAAATTATTTAAATTTTAGCTCGAAATCTCTAAAATCCAACTTTTTATCTTCTCTCCGCCTCGACCATCCTGTTTTAAATGTGTTGCTTCGATATCCACGGACGGATTGTCAAAATGTAATCTAAACTGTTAAAGCCGGATTGACTTGTTCATATGTTCATAATATCGTCAAGGATACTAAATTTGTCAGATGTACGCTGATGCCTGTAATTACATAATACTATTTATAGGAATAATAGAGCCCGGCCTCAATCCTCGCAAATAGTTGACGATTTGTTTTCTATTCCCGGATATGTTATTTGCCATTGATTCTTGTATAACGCACCCCTGAAATCATGCATTTTATTAAGATTAAATTTACCAGTTGATATTAAATTTAAATTCGGCGTGATATCCTTTTTCCGTCGACAACATGATTCAAACGTTTGACCACGGTTAGCAGAAATG